TTTTAAATGTTTTATTTTTGCACATTTTTTTATTAGCATTAATTTTGCTTTTATTATTTAAACTAATATTTATATAATTATTATTAAAATTAACGTTATTAAAATTTAATATGCTTAAAAAAAAAAAATTATTAGTATTATATTAACTAAACATTTTAATATTTTTATTAATATATAATAACTTATAAGCAAAAAAATAATAGTTTTAATAGTTAAAATAAAAATAAGTTAGCTTATTATAATCGATATATTTATAAATAGTTTGTTTAAATAGCTTATAATAAATTTTATAACAAAATATAGCTTTAAAGTTGTAATATTTAAGCATTAAAGTATTAGCTTTTATATTATAATTTTTATATTTGTTTTTATTTCTATTTAAGTTAGCATTATGCTTGCTTATGCTATTATTGTTAAAGCTATATTTTTTAATAGCTTTTTAGCTTTATTTTTATACGCGATTTAACGTTGGCTAAAAACTACTGTTATAGCAATATTTTATATTAAATAAAAAAATCTAAAAATTAATATTAGCCGGTAATAGTTAGTTACGCTTAATTTTTTTTTTTATATTTGCGCTATTGCAATTTGCTTTTTTGTATGCATAAAAAGCAAAAGTAAACAATTAATTGCTTAAAAACTTTATACCTACTATATATATAAATAAATACCTACTTAGTAATAAATTAAAGTTTTAACCTATATAAAATTTAAATAATACTTACAGTAAGTATTTAATAAGCGCAAAGTTTTAAGTATACTAAAAAAATACATAAATATTAAAAGCAGTACTAAAAAGTACTTTAAAAGGTATGGCTAAAAAGTTTGAAAAGCTCGGAAGGCTTGGAAGGGATCTGTGCTGGGAAGGCCGGATTAGGAAATAGCCAAGCAAGAGGCTAGTTATATAAATATTAAACTTAAAACTAGCGCTCATATAGCCGTTCTTCTAAAAAGCTTCAGAACACACCTGCTAAAACGTTTAATATATGAACTGAACTATATTTCCCTGGTCCTCCGTCTTATGTAGGGGCTCTCTGCTAGTTCTGTTAAGCTCTAATGTTAACCAAGGGAGCCAGGATGGGGTATTTGCAAGCAAAACGTGAGTCCAGGGTCCAGTTTTCGAAGATGCAAACGTGAGCCTCAAAATCCGGATTGAGAACCACCTCAAACGAGTCATTAACAACGATGATGCCGTAAGATCTTGGCCAGTTAACGGAGAGGGAGCAGCCAAAGTCAGCATCGAATTCCTCTCGGAAGGGGTCGATGTTAACAATGCCAAGTGTCATAGCGTCTCGCAGCTGAGGGAACTGCATGAAATCGACATACAGTGGATGAGGCGTGTCGTATTGAATATCCGTCGGCCGCAGCTACTCTGGAATGTCCCTGAATGCTTCGAGGGTAGGATATAGGCGGTACTATGTGGCGGCATCAGCGACACGCCGCGCAGATGGATGCGCGGAGGCGGAGGCTTGGCTTACACGGAGAAGTCGATAGGCGATGACGAAGACAGCAGACCGAATGACCAGGTCATTCATATTTGGTCTCTTCATGATCTTGTACAAAACCCGGCTCGCAGGAATGGTTGGTTCTCCCATTAACAAAAGGTCTGAGAGGTCGGGGGTGGCGAAAAAGGGTGGGGAGGAGGCTGTATTCACGGGGTAGGGTTGTATCTGCATCAGATTGTCGAATATTGTGTGCTCCACGCAGGCGGAGTACGACTCGTGTCGCCTCGGGGTACAGCGGCATCCGATGAGTGGAGGAGGTAGAGGTAGCAGGCGGACGGAGGGACCCTGCAGATCGTTCGTGTGGTCTACTACCTCTGCTGCCTCTACCAGCCTCTTGCGCAGGTCCGTGGTGATGGCCAGCAAATGTGCAATCTCCACCCGCGCTTCATGCAGCTCCAGCTCCAGGTGCTGCGTCTGGGCCTTTTGCCGGGCGCGTTTAGACCTCTGTGAAACCTTGTCCTGAGCTCGCTTTTGATCAAGCTGTCGGACCGTTCTCGTGCGCTTCGGCTTGACCGGCTGGTTGATGGACCGAGTGGCTACATCAACGGCAGCCGGAGCGCGCGGCGCAGGGGCGTGAAAGGTACTCATCGGCGGAGTAGGAGCAACGTCACAGGGCACTACTGGCTACCTGGGTACGGAGTCCCTAAGGAGGTATCTAGGGTTTGCAGCAGTCGACGTCGACCCTACTACCTAAGTATGGGACAGCGCGTACCGTTTATAAGAGGTAGGTATGTCCTCACTGCACGTCCCGCTTCTACCCCACAAGCCAAAGCCAACAGATCGACCATGTGCTGCTTTCCCCGTGTACGTTCTTGAATCACTGGTCCTACATGGGCATGCGCAATGCCCTTCGGGTCCGTCTAAAAGTCCGGCCCGAATAGAACACCACCGGCGCGAATGCCGCAGTTATGACCCGGTGGAGGCAGGTGAAAGGAGGCCAAAACATACGTGCTACAGTCCGTTCGTGCCTGATGGTGTCGGCACATATACCACATTGCGGGAAAAGCCCGAGATGATTGTAGGGCGGGTTAATCCTACTCATCTTCTCCCAAGCGGAAGTCTTGACAGACAATAGAGTGTAGGTAAGCAGCAGATCAAATAACCAGGTCTTGTTCTAGTCTGTTATACAGCTTTTACAGCAACTATGGTGCCGATTTTCTAGGCAACCCCAAAAATAGAAGGCTAACAGATGATGGAGTAGCTCAAACAGCTGGGGTGGTTTTAGGTTAGCTACATATGTAGAGAATAGTAGAAGAAATGTGAACGCGCTTTGGAGTATGCAGGCCAACTGAGGGTAGCCTCCCCCTGTTTACCTAAGAGTCCCGTGCGAGTACTATACAAATTATCCTTGTGCGGTTGACGTCGACCAACTGCAGGGATGCGCGGAAGGTTAGCCAGTGTCCAGCTCCAGATTTGCCGTTCGAAGTTCCCGGATTTGTGCACAGATAGGATTCAGTTGCCGTCCCTCAAGCCGGTGAAGAAATTCATCTACACTCCAAGACTGCTGTATGGCACCTACAGCTACCTTTTGGCGCAGTGGTTATTTCTGACAGCAGTCTCTTGGTCAATTGCCATATATATAGGGATTGAACTGCAGCGTAGAAAATCGCAAACCTCTCATGTGATAAGTCATCGTAAAGTCAATCGTCAATATGTTCTGTTCACGTCACGCTGTCTCGTGCCTCTGGGCAGGTTTTGCTCTGTCGGTCAGGGCAAAATGGGCAGATCCAGACCTGTCACAGGTGGCGTTCGGAGCAAATGGCTTGTGCAAGACGGACCTGATCTCGTACCCTGAGGTCGAAGGCGTGCAAATCCTCTCCCTTTCTGCCACCGACCTACGAAATCATACTTTCATCCGAAATCCCCTGCTGGGTTTCAAATCAAGACCAATCGAAGGGGTCGATTTCTGCAACATCTCTGTCGTATACACCCATCCAGGCTGGAATGATACCATTCGAATTACAACATACCTCCCGCCAGTGGAGCAATACAATGGCAAATTCCAGGCAAACGGCGGAGGCGGCTGGGTAACAGGTGGAGAGTCCCTTGCGGAGTTTACGATGATCCCCTCACTCCTTCTCGGATTTGCCGTTAGTACGACGGATGGCGGCCATTCAGACAATATACTGGATCATCTCGGGTCTGATTTGCCGTGGGCACATTCAAGCCCTGGAAACATCAATTGGCCTCTTCTTATAGACTTCTCTTACCTTGCGCTACACGAAATGTCCATAGTTGGGAAAGCCCTTGTAAAGTCATTCTACGGCACAGCGCCGAAGTACTCGTACTTTTATGGTGCCTCAACCGGTGGCAGGCAAGCTCATATGCTTGCTCAGAGATACCCAGAAGACTTCGACGGTATACTTGCAGTGGCTCCTGCAATCAATTGGACGAAATTTCTCTGGGCCGCTCTCTGGCCCTTGAGAACAATGGATAAAACCGGCACCTACCCTCGACCTTGCGAGTTTGAAGCTATTTCGGCCGCTGCCTTCAAAGCTTGCGACGGACTTGATGGCGTCGAAGATGGGGTTCTCTCCATGCCCTCACGGTGTTATTTCGATCCCCATATTCTTGTTGGGGACATATTTGACTGCAATGGCATAGAGGCTATATTCACATCAGTGGCTGTTGATACCGCCTTTGCAGCCTGGACTGGGCCTCGAAGCTCCACCGGCGAGTTCCAATGGCATGGGTTCCCCAAAGATGCCCATATTTGGGGTCCAGTTGCCCCTATCTTGACTGCATGTGACGAAGACAAGTGCAGCGGTTCTCTGTTTCCCATATCGGATACATGGGTACGATATTTCGTCGCTAAAAATCCCGGCCTAGATGTCAGAACTCTTAGCCACCAGCAATGGGATAATTTTTTTCTCGCATCTACCAACGAATATGATTCTGTTATTGGGACCTCAGATCCTGATCTCTCTAGATTCAGGAGAGCCGGGGGCAAGATGATTACCTGGCATGGAATGGCAGATCAAGTGATCCCGGTTAATGGGACTATTGATTATGCCAAGGGGGTGCTTGCAAAAGACCCTAAGGCCCACGATTATTATCGATTGTTTTTAGCCCCTGGGGCTGATCATTCTATGAATTGGGGACTCGCTCCAACCGACCCCTTAACAGCTCTCATTGACTGGGTAGAGCACGGGAAATCCCCGCAGACGTTACGAGTTGCGGGCTTGAACGCGTACGGTACTCATCTGGAGAGAGACATATGTATGTATCCACAAGTGCAGCATTACGCCGGCGGTGATCCAACACTTCCGTCATCCTTTATTTGTGTTTAGAAGAAATTAATATTAGATGCGTTCTAATTGATTGTTGCTCTCGCTTGTTGTTTACTAAATGAATAATAAATTTAAAGCAACATTTTTCGAATTATTTTTAAGAAAAATGATAACAATATTTATAATTATATATAAAACAACAAATAAAAATTAAACAAGGAAAATAAAAATTAAAAGTTATATTTTTAAAAACTAAAAAAACAACCTCTCGATCGGGGAATCGAACCCCGGCCACCTGCGATTTTGTTCTGTGGAATGCTAGACTCCGCGAATGACAAGCAGGTATCCTTACCACTAGACCAACCGAGACTTTGGGCTGTTGTATGACTAAGCCCTGCAAATGCAGATTCATAAGGATCAAGGCATGGGGGCAAAAGGAGAAAGCTAGCCTGAGTCATTTAACGTCATATTCGAGGAGTTGGCAGGGCTCATCCATCGCCTGTGATTCGAAGTAGGGCGAGCTCATATAATCAAATAATAGTCTGTTACCCCCTCAACTGTAGCGTCAAATCGTGGTAGATGTTCTACTTTCTACCCATTCTATTCTCGCATGACTGAGTGAAAAAGTACTCCAGCCTCTTAAGATTGGGCGTGGTAGTGCCCGGCACCTCTCCGAGCACAAGGCCCTTACAAGATCACATGGTGCTGCTAACATTATCGCTAGACTTAAAAACGAGAAGGGCGTAAAATGTCTACTGTTGGTCGATATCATAGTCCCTATATACGAATTCAAGATTGTTGACCGAGAATACTTCCAACGAAAAGGGCTCTTTAAATCTAATCAACCTATTGCATGGGAAGCTGCGAATATAAAATAGCAAGACTTGCTTAATCTAACATATATCTCGTTAATCAAGACTACTACAGCTTCCCTATGTGAATAAAATTGATATTATCTAGCAGCTCTAAGCCACAGTACAAGCCACATGCACAGGCCAACCAAATATGATACCAGGTAACACCAGCGGTTACTACGTAACAAGACATACGCGAAAGCGGAGCAACCAATAGCCAAGTATAGCAAGTCCCGGTTCTTCGCGTGACATACGAGCAGATTATAGAAAAGCCTTCTATATCCCGAATGTATATGCGATCCTTATTTCACGGTGCTCAATCGCAGCAGACAAAATATCGAGTTACATCGAGTCACATTACTCATATCGCTAGGTAAATAATAGCGCTGAGCAAAATGCGTCAAAAAAAGGCCTACAACCTAGCAGAAGCGAGAAACAACGGCTCGGCTCAATGAGAAGCACTAGCACGTATATTACCGCGGCTGGTAAGTTCCTCTAGCGACGGGTGAAAAGGCAGCGAGCGAGCATGTCTCAACGCGTAACACGCGTACGACCGCGGTGATGGGATAATTCGTGTACCTAGTATTTTCGCCCCTATCTCACTTGCTCATCCCTCCATAGTTCAAATAACTAAAACAACACAGCCTTGATAATTAGTTTCTCCCTAGGTAGAAGACACAATCTGCGACAGCGAAGCTAAACCAAGACCAAGGTGGAACAAGTCCACTACTAGGTAGATAGATACACTCGCACGACCTCAGCTGCAACGTATCACTCGTCGGAAAAATGAAAATCAAAAATAAGAAACAGAACAGGCGAGGAGAAGCAGACGTAGAAGCAGGTACGCGGAGCGGGCCGTCGCACGCCGTGCGCCGTGCACCCACAAGAGACATGAATACGAGGCGAGCGGGTAACGCAGAGAAGGTGATGCAACTCACTCTATCCGCGACAATCTGTGGTAGATGAACCAGACAAAAGCTATGTATAATCACCCACTCCCTACCTATCTTGGGTCTAGTAGTCGCGCTTCGTGGCTCGTCGGGATATCCGCCTCTTCTCGTGCTAAACTCTGGTAATGGTGGTGTTATGATGGTTGGTAGTGTTGCTTATCCTGATTGCGCGGGCGGGCGGCGAATCAGCCGGGCCGGCTATCTATGGTTTCTTGGTGGTGACACGGCACGGGTTTTTGGTGACTTGTATACACACATACGACATACAAATGGGGCCCGAGGGATGAGAGCAGAGGATCGCACAGCAGAGAAGATGGGGTACGAGGGAAAAACTGGTTGGGGGGACAGAAACCGTTGGACGAGGCGAGCGAGCTTGCATTTCCTCGCTTTGTTTTTCATGATTTGGGGCAAACTGGGGAAAGATTTTTAAATCAGTAGCAAGCAGCAGCAGCAGCATGCCATACAACGCTGACCCCCACCGCCAACAGACCGATCGCATTGCCAAATCATATATCATATCACCTCCATCGGATCAGATCAGGCACCAACTACCTAACTAATGCTGGTCGGATATAAGCCAGTAGCAGCAACGCCGGTCGGACTCATTTGTCATTATCACTGAAAATTACTGTGTCGGTCCATCGAGGTGCACGCGGAGAGAATATCGAGCTGAGAGGCCTGTCTATCTATTATATAGGTAGATGAGTGGGATCGTCCGTGATTCGCTGCCATGAGTCCACCCCAGGATAGGATCCCCTCAGTTGGTCTTCACGTGCTCTACGAGCCAGAAAAGAGCGAAAACAAGCTTGTCGAGTAAGCTGGCTCATTTATATCGTGATATAACGTTGAAGATTCAAGAGCTCATGGTTTCTCCTTAGCATTGTCTTCATCCATGGTTTTGGTGGACATCCGGTGAGAAGCTGGCAGTACGATGGCCGGTCGGCCTCTTTTAGTCGGCCTCGGACCGATCCGACCACTGGTGGTGGGTCGGTGAAGCTGCTACGCAAGAGAACGAGGTCGGCGGACAAGACGCGTCGACTGAGTCTAGGGTCCATGGGTATGCGGAATCTTCCATGGCAAGACGAGTCGAATAAGGCTCCTGTAATCTTCTGGCCTCGGGACTTATTGCCTATTGCATGTCCTGAGGCTCGTATTATGACATGGGGATATCATACCCTTCGGAGCGGCAATGTGCCAGTGTTTTCTCAGCCTGATCTCTTCTCTCACGTAAATGATCTCCTTCGGGAGCTTGGAGGCCTTCGACAAGGTACTGGTGCGCAGCAGAGACCCTTGATCTTCATCGCGCATTCTCTTGGGGGAATTATAGTGAAGGAGGTGGGTTGAAGCACACATCATTCGAGGTAGAAATACTCATCGCGAGTGCAGATATTACGCCAGGCCGAGTTGAGCAATGTGAAGATCGAACAAGACATGCTAAGCTCTACAGCTGCAACTATTTTCTTCGGTTGCCCGCATCGCGCAATAGAGGGCGAGCCGCTAGCTGTCACAACGGTGTCTATAGCAGAGGCGTTCTTAAGCGTCAGAACAGAGAGTTCTGTATTGTCGGCCCTGTGCGGCGTGAATAGTCCTAGATGGGACGAGGCTCAAGAGGTGTTTGTTCGGCTGTGGCACCATTTTAACTTTGTGGTTAAGACCTACCAGGAAAAATATGACAACACGAATAAATCGATGGTAGGTCTCCTCGTCTCGAGTAAATATACTGTCGGTGGCAAGCTTACGTATCTGCATAGAATACTCGCACCGAATCGTGTAAGCTTGGCGACGGAAGAGAAAACGCAGAAATTTTACCCGGAGACCATCGCGCAATGTGCCAGTTCAAGTCGACTAGCGATGAAGGCTTCATATCGCTATCCAAGATCCTTCGAAATATCGTGAAGGACGAGAAGTCAAAAGTAAGTTATGATTGTCGCAACCTGGTTAGAACATAAGGCTGATGACGAGTGATAGCGTCGAGCGCTAACTGTTGAAGAGCTAAGTACGCGGCAATCATGTCCCTATTTCTATGCATGGGCTGACGGAGTATAGACTGCTTACGGCGACTTATTAGTCACCATCCCCAGGAGTCCCAGCCATCCATGATAGGAAGCTCTCTGAGTACATGCAAAGGGATATGTAGCACAAGGGAGTTTTGCGATTGGTATCGTCGTCGGGGTGGTAGTAATGAACACATACTCTGGCTGACGGGTGCGCCAGGTTCGGGAAAGACTACCCAGTTACGACATATTCGGAGTCAACTGCAAAAGCAATGGAAGCCTGCTACAACGTCAGTTATATACTGTACGGCGGCAAGTCGAAGTCTCGACCGAGCCTCTGTGCCATACTCGAAGCTGGGAACTATGCGGTCTGCCACAACTATACGCTCGCTCCTCTCCCAACTCTTTGTGAAAGACATGGATCTTCGCCAAAGACTTTCTAGCCTGGGTGAGGGTAGCATTACTAACGCCGATTTGACACGATTCTTCCTCGATGAGTATATCATAAATAGATCATATACGTTAGCAAGAAGAACCTTTATCTTGATCGACGCGGAAGATGGTTGCGACGACGCGTATATCCAGGAACTCTTGTACTGCCTATGCCGAATGGCGAGAAACTCGGATTATAGTGTGTGTCTAGCCAGCCGACCAGTAAGCGACCATATCCCGGAGAATGTAACTCAGTTAGAACTCGAAAATCATAACCTCGAAGATATCACATTTTTAGTGCAGTGCCGTCTGAGTACCAGCTTGGAAGAGCGATCCGCTGTTGTGAAGAGGATTGCTCAGAAGGCTGAGGGTAGTTTCCTGTGGGCACAAATTGCGACAAATCTGGTCAATCGAGTTATAGATGACGGCGGTGGACGGGATATCGTGAGACAGACACTGGACGAGCTCCCTCCGGAGCTATACGGACTATATGAACAAGTCTTAGGCAGCCTCTCCTCTAAAGATATGGCTGATGCTACGACTATTATGCGATGGGTTATACTGGCACCAGAGTCCATGGTGCTCAATGACCTGCGAATGGCAGTTCGCTTAGGCCGTACGAATTTCCTGCTCTGCTGCGATCCGCAAACCACACTAGACGTTGGATCCCCTTGGTCGATGCAGGAGCTGCAGAAGACAGGCAAACATTTCGACACACCATCGCAGTTTTATCAATGGCTCTGCTCTCGGACATGTGGCTTACTAGAGGCAAGGCCGGCAGATGATGAAGGCAAAGCGAAGCAGTCGCTCGGGCTTCAGCATGTGTATCCCATAAATGACTCGGTCAGATCGTTCTTCTTGTCGGGGAGGGGCTTCGCTTCCCTGTCGTCGGGACGAGCGACAACCACACAGCAGGACCACGAGGCAGTCGACCTCTGTCACTACGGCCTTCTCCGTACCATCCTGATATATCTGAACACGTCGGATCTATCGCCGCTGGTGAGTGGGCACCGTTCGCCGGAACCGAAACAAGGTGTCTTATCGCCGGAATCGTTACCCACGTGGCGGAAGAACGTGGTGGATCAGCGCCATCTCATCACATCGTCATACCCATTCCTGGGATACGCCGTAGATAACCT